GACTGGATGCCGTGTCGGTCCACCGCATCGGGATGCCGGACTCCTTCGTCGAGCATGGCACTGCGGCAGACCAGCGACACCAGCTTCAGCTGGATGCCGAAGGCATTGCCGAGCAGGTCCTGAGCGCCTTCTTCCCCGATGCGGCGTCTCGTCGGAGCCCAGAGGCTCAGAAAGTCGTGGCAACGACCTAGGCGTAGCCGCGTACGTCAACCCCGCCGCGAAGGCCTCTCACCGGGATATCAAAGACCCCAACCGTCATTCCTCTGAAAATAGCCTGTGTGACGTCTCCATCCGTCATTCCGGCGGAGGCCGGAATCCAGTCTCCGGACTCTGTTGGCCTCTGTCATTTTCGTGCTTGGTGGTGTCGGTGGCAACCGACATGAGCGATTGCTATGAAAATAGGCTCCGGCAAACCTGTTGTAGGGGCAACCCTTGTGGTTGCCCGTTCCCGGCACCAACCCGTTTTCATCCCCTTATGTGGCCTTTCGCAAGGCCATGGTGATTCCGGCGAAGAGCCTGCCCCGTACTCCGATACGGGGCAGGAATCCAGTTCCCTGGGTTCCCTGAACTGAAACAGGCACAAGCTGCCCTGCGAGAAATTGTCGTGCGCCGGTTTCCCTGATACCATGATGCCCGCACCGATTCGTGCGACTCCATGCCACATCCCAGGGAGGTATTCGAGTGACCACAACATACGAACCGAACATGATCCTCAAGCAGGGCGACTACAAGGTCATCGGAACGCGGCCCGTCCGACACGACGGCGCCGACAAGGTGACCGGACGCGCCAAGTACGGCGCGGACTTCCACGCTAACGATATCCTGCACGCCAAGTTCGTTCGCAGTCCCCACGCCCACGCCAGAATCCTCTCAATTGACACCAGCGAGGCCGAGGCCATGGACGGCGTGTTCGCGGTCGTAATCGGCGCAGACCTGCCGGAAGTGGCTGACGAAGTCATCGCGCTTGGAGAGGGTGCCGCGAACCTGCGCTACCTTCGGAACAACGTACTCGCCGCCGACAAGGCGCTATACAAGGGCCACGCCATTGCCGCCGTTGCCGCGTCGAGTCCCGCATGTCGCCGAAGAGGCCGCCGACAAGATCAAGGTCGAGTACGAGGTGCTCGATCCGGTCCTGACCGCCCCTGAGGGCATGGCGGACGGAGCGCCGATCTTGGACGAGACGCTCCGTACATCTGAGATGGGAGAAACGGCGGAGGGACAGAGCAACGTCGCCGAGCACTTTAGGCAGGTGAAGGGAGACGTGGAAGAGGGATTTGCCAGGCGGACCTCATCGTCGAGCGAGAATTCGACACGTCGACGGTTCACCAGGGGTACATTGAGCCGCAGGTCGCCACGGGGCTCTGGAACACGGACGACCGGATCACGATCTGGTGCAGCACTCAGGGATCGTTCAGCGTTCGCGACGAGATGGTCGGGATTCTCAGCAAGCCCGCATCACAGATTAAGGTCGTGCCGATGGAGATCGGCGGCGGGTTCGGAGGCAAGATTCCCGCCTACCTCGAACCCACGGTCGCCGTGCTGTCCAAGAAATCGGGCCGCCCGGTCAAGGCGGTAATGACCCGCCAGGAGGTGTTCGAGGCCACGGGACCGACGCCCGGCTCTCACATGAAGGTCAAGATCGGTGTCGACTCCGAAGGGACGATTCTGGCCGCCCAGGCCGACCTTCAGTTCGAGGCCGGGGGCCTTCCCCGGCTCTCCCGGTCGGGGCCGCGGCAATGTGCGTGTTCGCTACCTACGACATCGCCAACCAGCAAATCGACGGCTACGACGTGGTCGTCAACAAGCCCAAGACTCAAGCCTATCGCGCTCCCGGCTCAACGAACGTCGCGTTCGCGACCGAGACGGTGCTGAACGAGATCGCCGAGAAGCTCGGCATGGACCCCATCGACCTTCGGCTCATAAACGTCGCCACGAAGGGCACCGTCCGCGCCGACAGCGTCGCCTTCCCGCGCATCGGCGCGAAGGAAGTACTCGAGGCCATGCGCGACCATCCCCACTATTCCGAGCCGCTCGACGGCCCGAATAAGGGCCGTGGCGTTGGGGTAGGGTACTGGTTCAACGTCGGCTTCAAGTCCGCGGTCAACATCAGCGTCAACCCGGACGGCACGATAAACCTGACCGAAGGCTCGACAGACATCGGTGGAACGCGGGCTTCCGTCGCCATGCAGGCCGCCGAGGTACTGGGCATCCGCGCCGAAGACGTGAACCCGACCGTAGTGGACACCGACTCGATTGGCCACACCGACGTTACCGGCGGCAGCCGCGTCACCTACGCGACCGGCTGGGCCGCGTACGAGGCCGCGCAGGATGTGAAGCGACAGATGATCACCCGCGCCGCCCTGATATGGGACGTCGATCCCGACTCGCTGGAGCTGGCGGACGGCGTGTTCCGCTCGAAGGCCGACGAAGAGCTCAATATGACCTTCGCCGAGCTTGCCGAGCAGTTGAACGACACCGGCGGTCCCATCATGGGCCGGGGCGCGCTCGACACGGGCGGTCTCGGTGCCGGCGGTGGATCGTTCGCCGGGAACATCGTCGACGTGGAGGTCGACCCCGATACCGGCAAGGTCGACATCCTCCGGTTCACCGTCGTGCAGGACGCGGGCAAGGCCATTCACCCCAGCTACGTCGAGGGACAGATGCAGGGTGGCAGCACCCAGGGCATCGGATGGGCGCTGAACGAAGAGTATTACATGCGCGATGACGGCATGATGATGAACTCGACCCTCCTCGACTATCGAATGCCGACCAGCCTCGACCTTCCCATGATCGATACCGTCATTGTCGAGGTGCCAGCGAACAGCAGCCCTTCGGAGTCCGGGGTGTTGGCGAGGCCAACATCGTCCCGCCGCCCGCGGCCATCGCTCATGCCATCTACGACGCAACGGGCGTGAGAATGCTCCGTCTGCCGATGAATCCCGCCGCCGTCACCGAGGAAAGGATGACAAACGGCAGCTAGATCAAAGCCGCCGCTCATCTGACAATAGCCGAGGCCAACCGTATTCGTAGGGGCGGGTTTCAAACCCGCCCCTGGGGTTCACCACGTCGCTATCGACTCGGGTAGCGTCTCGTAGATGACCGTGTAGCTGTAGTATCGCTCGCCGTCTATCTCGCCGGACTCCGTCGCCGCGACGACCGCGCACTCAGGCTCCTCGAAATGGCGGCAGTCGGTGAATTTGCATCCCGCGCGCCGCTGCTCGATCTCCGGGAAGAAGTGCCACAGTTCCGGCGAGTGAGACCGCTGAGTCCCCATTCGCGAATGCCCGGCGTGTCTACCACGGTCGTCTCCTCATCGATGCGCAAGAGTGTTGCCCTTGAAGTTGTGTGCCGCCCCTGGTCACGTCCGCGCCACGTGCTGATCTCGCCGACGCGCAAGCCGAGACCTGGTTTCAGGGTGTTCAGCAGCGACGACTTCCCCGTTCCCGATAGCCCCGACAGCACGGTGCTCTTTCCGGCGAGATGCTCTCTAAGCTCGTCCATACTGTCGCCCATCGTCGTCGAAGTGACAACGATGGGGTAGTCGAGGTCCTGATACGGCGAAAGCGCAGTCTCGAACTCCTCGGCGTCCTCGATGAGATCTCCCTTCGTCACGCAGATGACGGGGTCGAGCTCGTGAACGTCGGCGGTTACCAGATACCTGTCGACCAGTTCCGGCCAGAATACGGGCTCCCGCCACGACGTGACGATCAATAGCTGGTCGACGTTGGCGGCGACGATCTGCCTGAGATAGCCCTTGAATGAGGATGGCCGCGTGAGGATCGAATCACGCTCGAGTAGCTCCTCGATGGCGAATCCCCCCGCGCCGTCTTCCGTCACGACCACGCGGTCTCCCACCGCGACCGGATTGACGAAGCCTGTCTCCTGGTCCTTGAGCGACTCACGGATATGGCATTCCACCGGCTCGCCGGACAACTCGACCATGTAGAGGCTGCCGTGGACGGATGTCACGACGCCGAGCAGCCCAGTTGCGTCATCGTCCGAGCGGTACTCCTCTTGCGGAGTGCCGAGCCATGCGCGCGCGCTCTCCTGCACGACCTGACGCCGACGCTCCCGCTCCGCAGGCGAGGCCACTCGCTCTTGACGGTCGTACGACAGGTCATCCCAGTCGCCGCTCGCATCCCGCCACGACTGCTTCCTTCTCGGCTTCCTTGTTTTCGGCGCTCGAACGAGCCGCTTCTTCTTCGGACTCACATTCCCTACCGGCTTGATGATGGCCGTATTATGTGCGTTAATCGCACCAAGACGCAACGGTACCCTAGCCCGCCTACGAGAAGAGACATGAGGATCGTCGATCTACGGAGTGACACCAAGACCCTGCAAGCACGGAAATGCGTGTGGCAATCGCCGAGGCCGAGCTTGGCGACGCCGACGAGGGCGAGGACCCCACCGTAAACCGGCTCGAAACGATGGCCGCCGAGCGGCTCGGCAAGGAAGACGCCGTCCTCGTTACCAGCGGCACCCAGGGCAACATGGTGGCGATCCTCTCGCAATGCCACCGGGCGACTCCGTCATCGTCGGTCGGAACACCCACATAAACCTGGGAGAGGCGGGCGGCTCTCAGCCCTCGCCGGTGTGACCATGCACGCCCTCGAAAACACCCCCGACGGCTCCCTCGACCCCGACGAGGTCCGGAGCGCGATCAATCACGACAGCCGCGATTGGCCGAAGACCGGCATGGTCTCGCTCGAGAACACGCAGAACCTGCTCGGCGGCCTCGTCCTCGATAGGGACGACATCGAGCGGGTGGCCGACGTGGCGCACGAGCACGACCTGCCCTTCCACATCGACGGCGCGCGCTTGTTCAATGCGGCGGTCAGCCTGATGTTCCCGTGAGCGATCTCGTGGATGCCGCGGACACTGTCACCTTCTGCCTCTCCAAGGGACTCGGCGCTCCCGTCGGCTCCGTGTTGTGCGGAAGTCGCGAGACCATTGAGGAGGCCCGCCGGTGGGTGAAGTACCTCGGCGGCAGCTATGAGACAGGCCGGAATCATCGCCGCCGCCGGAGTCTACGCCCTCGAAAACATGGTCGAGCGTCTCGCCGAAGACCACGACAACGCCCAGCGATTGGCCAAGGGTCTGGCCTCAATACCCGGCCTTGAGATCGACCCCGAACGGGTCAGGACGAATATCCTCTTTGCCACGTCGACCAAGCCCATTCGGCCGAACTCGCCTCGCTCATCGAGGCCGAGGGCATAAAGTTCTACGACCTTGGCCCGGAAATGGGCTGGCGATTCGTGACCGCCTACGGCATCACCGCCTTGGACATCGATCATGCCCTCGACGTGATCGACTCCGTCGTCCGCGACTATCGCGGACGCTCCAACGGCCACACACCCCAAGTGAGACCCACGTCCAACAGCCGGCTCTAGCCAGTATCCACCTTCGCGGACAGATCTTGGTGTTTGTCCGCACGCGTCGTCATTCCTCGGAAAATAAGCCCCGATTAACCGTATTCGCAGGGGCGGGTTTCAAACCCGCCCCTCAATACCAACGCCATCCTCACACCGTCATTCCCGCGAAGGCGGGAATCCATCCCCCTGCCATCAGCCATCTGAGGACGGATAGTCCAATCCCCTTTTCGTCATCGGTCGTTTCGGTGGCAACCGACATGGCGATTGCTACAAAAATATGCCCAGCCAACCTGTCGTAGGGGCAACCCTTGTGGTTGCCCGTCCCCGGTGCAAAAGGCCTTCCCCGATTTGACAAACAAGAACGCATGTACCACACTACACAAAAGATGCTGCCCGCCGCCCAATCTTGCGATAACGAGGAAATGGCACAGACTTACAAAACTCTCGGATACTCAGGTGCTCGCGCTTCCCCATCTAGTCCTCTCCACAGTCACTCCGCGAAGCCGCGTAACTCTACGATAACGACAAGAATGCGACAGAATGCGACAAAATGCTACAGATTTTCAGAAAATCGAATGGACAGGTTCTCGCGCTTCCCCTTTCGACCACCCCTCGATCACTCGGCAAAGCCACCCCAATTGCGGGCGTGTCACCCGGAACGCCCCGACGAAACCACAGTCCCTGTCATGCAAGATAGGCGAGAGAGTCGCATGAGCACTGCCCTGATCCCCTACGAGCCCAAATCCCTCCCGCGCCCATACGGCTCGCCAAAGCCTGCAGCTTCTCCCACGTCGACTCCCGACTCGATAGCCGTGTGTCGAGTCCACGCTGGCTTGTCGTACAGGTGTGCTCGATCTCGCATGTAGGTAGTAGGACCGCGTGCGACCGCCTTTGCCGGGCGTGGCTCTTCAGGTAGTGAGCGAACTCCGTCACTTCCTGCTTGAACGTTTCGAGCGAGCGGAAGGCCTCCACTTGAAACGCGGCCAGGAAGCAGCCGTCATTGTGTCTGCCCGTCGGATCGACTCCGAATCCCAAGCCGGTCAGCAGACCGGAGAATATCTCCACGATGGCGGCCAGCCCATACCCCTTGTGTCCCTCCGTCCCTCCAAGCGGCAGGATACGCTCCACCATCAGAAAAGTCGTGGGGATCATTCGTTGCATTGCCGTTCTTGTCCAGTATCCACCCCTCGGGGATCGACTTCCCGCGCGCGACTGCCAGGCTGATTTTCCCCGCGGCTACGGCGCTGGTCGCCATGTCGATGAACAGCGGCCCTTCGAGGTTGCTTGGAATAGCGAAGCAGATCGGATTTGTGCCGAGTCGCGCCTCCCGCCCGCCCGAACGGCTACAACGCCCTAGCCGACCGGCCGGAATCCGCCGTCATCATGCCGATCATCCCCGCCTTCGCCGCCATGATTGGATAGGCCGCCACCACGACCCACGTGTCCCTGCCTGTACACCGTCGCTGCAGCGACGCCGCTCGCCTCGGCCTTCTCTATGATGGCCTGCATGACGAAATTCGACACGGCATAACCGAAGCCCCAGTTGCCGTCCACGACCATCGTCGTCGCGGTCTCCCGCACCACGTCCATCGGCGCGCCGCAAACGATGTGCCCTACCTCGATGCGCTCGATGTATGACGGTATCTGGATGATCCCGTGAGAATCGTGTCCGGCAAGATTGGCCCCGACAACGCCCTCGGCGACACGATGCGGCCTCGTGTTCGGTGGCGCCCGCTCCCATCAGCAGGTCGCGTGCGATGAGTTCAAGACTGTCGGCTGGTACGGTTGGCATGTTTAGCTGCTCCTATATCGATGGTTTCTTCAGTACGTAGATGATGAAGTTCGGCACACGAGGCTCGTCGTCGAAGTTAGGGTGTTCTGCCAGCTGCTCCTCGGAGGGGATCGGCTCTTGCAGTGCTTCCAGCGCAAAGCCGCGTCGAGGAAGGCGGAAACATAGCTCGACAACGTCCTGTGCATGTTGATGACCGGACATCGCGCCACCACAAGAATTCACGCGGCCCTTCCTCCGTGTAGTTGTCCACCGGATAGAACAGCTTCCTCGAACGGTCACTGATCCAGCCGTCGGTATTGATTGGAGCGCTCCGCATCGGGTGGATGTTGCAGACGATGAACCGGCCACCGGGACGGAGCACTCCGGTACGCCTCCCGAATCGATCGGCGATAGTCCAGCAGGTCCGTGAGCACGATATACGACACCGCCAGGTCGAAGACCGTCGTCGCACACTCCGTCAAGCGTTTCTGCATCGCCGACGAGATACGTTTCTCGCTTACTCCCAACGCTGTGTGCCTGCTCGATCAGCGCCTCCGTAAGATCGACGCCGGTCACCACCGCCCCAGATCGGACAGCAGCCGGCAGAACCGGCCCTCTCCGCAGCCGATGTCGATCACCGACTTGCCCGACACGTCTCCCAACGCGTCCAACATCCACGAGTCGAGCATCCCCGTGCGGACGGCCTGGTCCGTCTCGATCCAGTCTGAGCGTACTTAGTAAATGGACGAAGGCGTTTTTTCAGTCCATACCGCGTCGCTTATAGCAGCGCGTGCCTCCACCGCAAACAACACACCGTCATTCCGCGAAGGCGCAATCCATGATACTCCAGAATCAGCACAGCACGCAAAACTCGATCGGCGATAATACGTAACCTGAACATTATACGGCCCCGACAAGACCCGCGACAGGAGTTCACCAACGTGAGTGAACGTGCAATCAAGATCACGGCCGGCTCGGTGAGGTGAGAGACTCACCTCGACAAGGCACCGATACGCAGCCACTATTTGGGACGCCCTGCCCATCGAGGCGTCTGCCAGCACCTGGGGAGACGAGATATACTTCGCCATCCCCGTCTCCGCGGGCGAAGAAGACAGAAGAAATGGGACAAGAGGTCGTCGAGCTCGGTGACCTGGGATATGGCCGCCCGGCAGCGCCTTCTGCATGTTCTTCGGCCCTACTCCCATGAGCAGAGGCGACGAAATTCGTCCCGCCAGCCCCGTCACCGTAATCGGGCGAATGCACGGCGACCCGACGGTCCTCAAACGAGTCCCGTCCGGCGCCCCCGTACTCATCGAGCGAGCATGACTTGACCTCGTTCGGGCAAGGCTGGCCCGATTCAATAGTGCTATGAAAATGAACAGTAACACCCACACCGTCATTCCGGCGGAGGCCGTAATCCATCCCCGGCCCCTGCTTTAGGTCGCGTAACGACTGAGAGACCAACGCCATTCTCATACTAGGTGATGAGGGTGCCAACCGTCATAAGATATTCCGAGGAGCACCTGCAAATGAAGAGATTCAGCGACATACTCCGCGACCGCGCGGCAACCATCTGGGAGCAGGAACACCGGCACCCCTTCGTGGTGGAGTTGGGAGACGGCACCCTGCCTTTGGGGAAATTCCAGTGGTACATGAAGCAGGACTACCTGTACTGATCGACTTCTCCCGCGTCATTGCGCTGGCGGTCGCCAAGGCCGATACCCTCGAGGACATGGGCTGGTTCGCACGACTGCTCCACGAGACGCTGAACACGGAGATGTCGCTCCACGTCAGCTTCTGCGAAGACTTCGGCATATCCGAGGACGAGCTTCTGGCAACCCGCTTGTCACCGACCACACTCGCCTACACCGACCACATGCTCTCCAACGCACACTCGGGTACGATTGCGGAGGTAGCAGCGACACTGCTTCCGTGCTCATGGGGCTACGCCGAAATCGGACAGGTACTCGAGGCTCGCGGCAAACCGATGAACAGCCGCTCTACTGCCGGTGGATCGAGATGTACAGCTCACCGGAGTTCGGAGAGTTGGCCGAATGGCTCCGCTCGTTCACAGACCGCACGGCGCTCGGTCTCTCGGACGCCCAGAGAGAGCGGCTTGTCGAAATATTCGTCACCAACAGCAAGTACGAGTACCTTTTCTGGGATGCCGCGTATCGGATGGAGGAGTGGCCCGTCTGATCCGCCGATTCTGACGAATAGCCTCGTGCGCGAATACGTGTCGTTCCAGACGCATACCGACGGGAAGTTCTGATAAAATGCTCTTAACCGTCTTATCGCTCAATTAATAGAACGTTTGCTCACGACATTTGGCCCGTGATGAGTATAAGGCGTAGGTATGGATTGTCGAATTCATGCTCTTAATGCAGTTATTGGTAACGATTCGCGCAAACCCCTTGACAACGAAATTCGTAACGGGGTATCATGCGATTCCTGATAAGTGCATTCATTGCCGCAACCTCAAACTCAGAGAGAGGGAGGTGACTCAAATGGTTTCATTCAAAGCATGTCCTCGGTGCAGCGGGGACGTAGTGACCAAGATGGATATGTACGGGCGGTACAACGAGTGCCTCCAGTGTGGGCACGCGTAGACCTCCCGACGCCTCGAGCCGAGTTTCGCTGGACCAAGGGCCGACTCAAGCCGGGTCGCCCTCGCAAGGACGCCGCTCGGAGAGATGCTGCATAGTTTGAACGGCTAAGACATCCGACCCAAACGAAACGGCACCCCGGCGGACAGGGTGCTGTTTTCACGTCAGGTGAAGGTCGAGAAACAACTGTTCAGAGTCGTTGAGATATGCAGGAATTGTCCTCCTGCTGTCATTCTGAGGAGCGCAGCGATGAAGAATCTACAATCTCTCCCCCGGCGGGGGAGAGACACAGAGAGGGGGTCTTCGCAATTCAACTCACGGAGACTGAACAGTTACGTCGAGAAAGCAAATGTTGACAGGGTACCTATACCCCTGTAGACTGATTCCGGCATGATAATTCATGTCATATTGTTCATGTGTTAGGAGGTGACAGAAAATGGAAACGTCAGTATTAGACACACAGGTCGCCCCGGAGTTGGCCGTGGCAGAATGCCGCAGTGTAGCCACCAGTGGATGATCGACTCGCCGAACGGCCCTCAGAGCAGGGGCGAGTGCCGACTCTGCGGAGCGGAGCGATACTTCCAAAACTACATCGAAGGCTCCAGCTGGGGCTACAACGTCACCCTCGACCAGCTTCGTGGCGACAACAACCGGCTTCCGGTGAATACGCCCGAGCGGTCCAAGATGAGTCTCGCCGAGGACTTCTAAACCCACAAACGAACATGTCCGACTCCGCGGTCACAGACCGATCGCGGAGTCTTTTTCGTTTTCCGAGGATCGATCTACCTACCGGAACAGGTCGTGCGATCTCTCCCTAACCAATTCGCTCGCACTCCCATCCCCCGGCACGTACCGAATCCCTCTTGCGATAGCAGCAGGAACCTGGTCGACCTTCCCCATCACCAACTCCGACGCCGCGGCAATCTCATCGGCGATAGCGATCCTTTTACATCACCTTCGACTGCGCGTCCGCTGTCCCCGATAGTCCATGAACGGGTCCATGCTGCCACACCGATGGCAAAGTTCACGTGCCCCTCCGGCCAAGCACGCCCGAACGTGTCCGTCACGATGACGGCCAACTCCGCAATTCCCGTCTTACGCTTGAAATGGTCCATCAGCTGCCGCGCAGATCCGTCAGGGTCACTGGGAGCAGCGTCACCGTCTCGATCGCCGACGACATTCGACGAATCTATCCCCGAATTCGCGCACACGAACCCATGCCGTGTCTCGGTTATCAATATCGTCCCGGTACCATCCTACGATATCCCGGTACTCTCACGAAGCACCAACTCGACGAGCCGGGCATCGCGCCCGGCGCGTAGGGCGAATTCACGCGCGAAGTCGGACGGTTCCACCGCAGACAGTTCGACCGTGCGCCCTTCCGCCTTGGACACCACCTTCTGCGTTACGACCACGATGTCCCCGGTCTCGAATGGAGTCCCCTGCGCTTCGGTCGCGTTCAGAATCATGTCCGCGAGGTCGCACCCCGCGGATATCTCCGGCAGTCCGGCAATGCCGATGAACCGGGCCTCGGAGCCGGTGGCTGACGGTGAAGTAGAGTAGTAGCTGAAGTAACGTGTTCGTCATATCGGGCGTTATATCACTCGCCCCATCGCCGGTCAACGGGTCGATCCTGCTCACCGTGATATACTCGAACCCTACCTCTTGCATAATACAAGCGATTCGCCATGCAGCTCTTGAGAAGCCTCCTGTTCGTGCCCGGCAACCGGGCCAACATGCTCGACAAAGCCGTCGGACTGAGACCCGACGCCGTCGTCCCCGACATGGAGGACTCCGTACCCGCCGCCGAAAAGGCGAACGCACGAGAGATGATCGCATCCTTCCTTCCGACACTGGCGGAAACCGGTCATCAAATCATCCCGCGAGTCAACAGCCTCCACACGGTACATGGAAGACGATCTGGCCGCCGTGATCGGGCCGCATATAACCGCTCTCGGCAGGCAAGGTACGCCAGCGCTAACGACGTGCGCCAAATCGCCGATACAGTCGGTAGGATGGAGATCCGCGGCGCACATCTCGTTCGGGGCACCGCGATGTGGTCTCTGGGTCGAAACTGCCGGCGCCATCGTGAACGCCTTCTCGATCTGCAGGGCCTCCAAGCGCGTCATAGCCATCGCATTCGGGGGCGAGGACCTCACGAACGACATGGCGATTCCAAGGACTGAGTCGGAGGAAGAGATCGCCTATCCTCGCAGTGTCGTCGCAGTGACCGCCCGTGCTGCCGGGGTGCTCGCTCTGGAGACGCCCTACTTCAACTATCGAGATGACGAGGGTCTGCGACGAAATTCGACGGCTTCCCGGAACCTCGGTTTCCGGGGCCGCTTCGCTATCCACCCCTCGCAGATCGAAGGGGCGGGATCAACACTTCCTACATGTCCTCCGATGAGGAGATCGAGCAGGCGCGTCGCGTGGTCGACGCCTTCGCGGAAGCCGAAGTACGCGGCAGCGCCGCCACGTCCCTCGACGGCATGGTGATCGACGTTCCCGTCGTCGAGCGAGCGCGCAAAGTCCTCTCCGCGCTCCCTCAATCCGCCTATGACGAATAGCGCACCAATCCAAATATGACAAGCAACAACCGTTATCCGTCATTCCCGCGAAGGCGGGAATCCAGATCGATTACAGTGCAGAGAACAGCCTAGTTATCTGCAAGCGCCACCAAGACACGAGAAGACCCAAATGGACAAAATCATCCTCAGCGGCATGGTATTCTACGGATTCCACGGCATGAGCGAGGCGGAACAAGAGCTCGGCCAGAGATTCGACGTCGACCTCGTCGTGCAGCTCGACCTCAAAAGGGCGGGTGAGTCCGACATGCTCGAGGACACGGTCAGCTATACCCACCTCTACCGCACCGTCAAGAGATCGTGGAGGGGCCGAGCCGCAAACTGCTTGAGAACGTCGCCGAGACCGTAGCCGGAAAGATACTCGCTGAGTCGAATGTCGCCTCCGTCCGCGTGACGGTAAACGAAGCTCGAACGAAGTTCCCACTGAAGGGGAGCGATCATCGAAAAAACGTACGCGGCGCTCGATAAATTCGTCACGCGAACAGCGAGCACAGAAGTTAGCAGAAGACGCCGCTAGAGGCTGAGCGACGGCATAGGCAATAGACCGCCAACGATACGATGACCGATGGGGTAGGGCGACCCCATGACCTTGACCTTCGCCCGATCCTGCCTGCAACCGGGTTTCGTTCTCAAATGCCACAGAATGCCACAAAATGTCCCACATTTTCCGTATCGCAAATCACTCTTCCTCCAACCGACAAGTCCTGGGACGGTTGAGGTAATAGCCCGGTGAATCGGCCCGAACCTGATTCAATTTAGTAGGAGAGGAGGTCGGATGAGGTTGCGGAGGGAGTGTGCCCACGGTCGGTAGCTGTGGGGGCCGCTCAATGCTGGTACAGACGCTTCAGGCCACTCACTCATCCGTGGTTTGGACACGACTTCACGATGCTTCTGCGGGGCCAGGTCAGTTCCACGTGGATCACTGCGATGACGACGCGACTGCGACAGAACTCTGACAACTCACCGTTCCGATTCAACTGGATCACTTTGGCCATACGGTGCGCTCCCCGTATGGTCCAACTCATACCCCGCTTCTTCATTCGGTTCGCGTGAGCTTGTCCCCGTTGCTTCCATGGTTCCCAGGCTCCGCGCGTCCGGCGGAGCGTTGGGTACCCGGTTGCGCCAGTCCACTCCAGTACTCACGTTGGACTCGACGTACTCTCTGTCTCTGTGTGCCATCTTGGTCTGTGCGGGTGGTGCTGAGGACAGTCGCCTGCCGGGCAGCCGTCGTTGATCCTACACGTATGCCATCGTAGACAGAAGTTCCGATCCGTCTGCCATAGCCTCGCCCACACCCCATCCGCTCGGTATAGAGGACATCTGTCTGCTGTTGTCCATCGCATACATCCTCTCCACGCTCGAAGCACGCTTCCCACCGACTGCGCTCATCATCGATCGCTCTGTGTCCAACATCCCGCAGCAGTCGATACACCGTCGATGGGGACAGTACCCCCCGCCGTCAGTGCGCTCACCATCTCGTCCGCCATCCGAAAGGGCACCGCACTGGCTATAGACACGCTGCTCTCTGTCAGCGTCGGACTCGCCTGTCGATGGGACTCCCAGCTAAGATGCTCATCTAACGCAATCCTGCTCTGGCCATCCTGATCACGATATATCCGGCGTCTGATCACCACTTCCCCAAATCGAGTCACCATCGTCCGCTCACGAACTCCCAACACCGTCCAACCCTTAGGCTTGCGCCTCAGCAACTCATCATCCAGTGCCTTCAACCTGACTCTGGCTTGCTCACGAGGATAGGCGCATCCTTCCCGATAACTCTCCTGCTCCCAGTTCGTGTCTGCGACTATCTGGTCTTCCTTGTTGGTTTGGGCTACGCTGAATATTGCCATCGGTTCTGGACTACTCCTGAAGTTTTGTACTCCTTCTAGGACAAGTCCAAGAGGATGGTGTCCTGCAATAAATGAAACAGGTTCGAATTCACGTGCCCAACTTGGCGAAAGAGTACAAATGTCCTATATTGGGTCCTGCATACGAAATGGAACAGGAGGCAAACGAATATTAAGGGACGTCTACACAACCAAGGTTAAGACCCTTACGCCCAACGAGGATATCTGTTGCGGGGAAAGATTTGTCAGAAGATGTCAGGTTAAATCGCACCCCCCTCTCCGTGACTCTGCGGTGAACCCCCTAGCCCTACGCAAAACTTTCTACTTTCTACTCCCATCGTCGCAAATGTCCGGAAATGTCCGTCAAATTCAAGGGGGGCCTCGTTATGGTAAACTTCGCGAGCCCCCACTCATCATCAGTTCATTGATTGCTCCCTGGAGGCCCCATGCCCCAGATGCTCGCCGCGCTGTACAACGGCGTCGACACGGTCGAGATTAGGCGGATCGAACGCATCGCTCCCGGCCCCGGAGACGCCCTCGTCAAGGTACGTTGCGAGGGAATCTGCGGCTCCGACCTCAACCAGTACCGCAAGCTGACCGAGCCGGAGACACTCCCCGCCGGACACGAGACCGCGGGCGAGATAGTCGATGTCGGGGAGGGAGTCGATCCCGCCAGGATCGGGCAGAGAGTCGCCGTCGAGGTCGTCGGTCACGGCAAGGCTTGCCTGACCTGCTGGTACTGCCGGCAGGGCCAGTATCGCAACTGCACCGAAAAGAGCGACTACGCCGGGGGTGGATTCGCCGAGTACGTCACGCGCAACGCCGTCGCCTGCTACCCCCTTGCCGATACGATGACGTGGGAAGAGGGCGCGCTTGTCGAGCCTCTGGCCGTGTCCATACGTGGGATGCGTCGGGGTGCACTCATGGCCGGGGACACGGTCGTCGTGCTCGGAGCGGGCAACATCGGCCTCACCGCAATAGCGGCCGCGAGAGCCTTGGGCGCCGGCACGATCATCGCAACCGCGAGGCACGCCCACCAGGCCGACTTGGCAAGGCAATTGGGCGCGGACGTAGTGCTGGACCCTAACGACGACGAGGCGACAAAGACCGTCGAAGAACTGACCCACGGGCGAGGGGCCGACATCACCGTCGAAACCGTGGGAGGATTCGGCAGCAACGCTACCCTCGTCCAGGCCGTCGACATGACCCGCGTCATGGGCCGAATCGTCGTCCTCGGCGTATTCCACGACCCCGTCCTGACAGACTGGATGGAACCCCTGCTCAAGGAGCAGTCCTTCATCTTCTCCGTCTGCTACGGCATCATGGACGGCAGACACGACTTCGAGATGGCAATCGACCTCATGGCGTCGGGCAAGGTCGATCTCAACCCGATGGTGACTCACACATATCCGTTAACGGATATGCCTCAAGCCCTGGCCACCGCCTACGACAAGTCCACAGGCTCCGTCAAAGTCCAACTGCGAATGTAGCGTACGCCGGAAGCTACTTCACGTTCCCCCATCCCCTCGGCCACCCACCGGTCTCGAATGGCCGCGACCTCGATGGCAACGTCTTCCACCGTTCCGGGATGGTTCGTCGCGAGCACCTCAAGCGTCCACGCGCCGTTGAACTCGATGTCCTCGAGGGCCTGGCCGAATGAGTCGAAGTCAATCACGCCGTGCCCCGGTGGCAGATGGTCGTCCTCGTCGGTAAACCCGTCCTGGATGTGGAGCGCGTAGAGCCGGTCGGACGCGATGCGCGTCTCCTCCGCCACGTCGAGCTTGCGCAGCCGGGTGTGCCCGATGTCCTGGCAGATGCCCACGTACTCGGCCGGCAGGTCGGCCATAGAACGACCGCAGCTCCTGCATCGTCTCCAGCGGACGGGCGGCAAAACCCTTCTTCGCCACGAGATTTTCGAGCGCCATGCGCACTCCCGTCTCCTCGCCGACCCGCACCAGCTCCGATATCGAGCGGTGCGCCCTCTCCGTGGCCGCTCCCACGTTCTCCTTCGTGTACAGCGGCTCGTCCGGCGATATCGGACTTCCCGACGGGTGCACGATGATCGTCCGGCCCCCTACCTCCGCGTGAAATCTCATCGCCGCCGCGACCTGTGCGACGCTATCCTTCCGTTCCTGACCATCGAAGCTGGCCAAGTTTATGCTCTTGAACGGCGCGTGGATCGTGTGCGGGTATAGCCCCGAACTCTCCAGGGCGGCGCGGAACGGAGCGGAGTCGGGTGGGCCGTCCTCCCATTCCGCGCCCTCCGCTATGAGCTCGACCTCGGCATAGCCGCTCGCCGCGACCGACCGCAGCGCCTCAACCGGGTCTCCCACAAACGCCCCCGCGTCGTCGGCGATGTACAGCGCGCTCGCAATGCTATATGTCGGCATTGTATCTCCTGTGGTTCGCTATCCGGCAGATATACCGGAACTTGCGTCATCCAATCCGCTTGGTATTTGATACATATTCATCATCGTACATCTCTTACATCCGCACTCGCCTGCTTCTTGGATCGTATGGCGCCGTCAGCCGTACCTTCGCCGGGAACCGTTCTGTGGCTACCTCCAGCTCATATTCACCGCCTCGAATCCAGTCGGTCGTCACCCCGTCCGGGTTCTCGACGTATCCCATGCCAACCGAGGTGCCAAGCGTATGCCCGAATGTCCCTGACGTCGTCCGTCCGACCAGTTGTCCGTCGCGCCAGATCGGTTCGTTGCCGAGCAGCAGGGGTTCGGGGTCTTCCAGGGTGAATACGGCCAACCGTCGCGCCACTCCCTCGTCGAGCTGCCGGAGGACCGCCTCCCGACCGTTGAAGTCGACACCCTTGTCGAGCGCGATGGCAAACGTCAGGCCCGACTCCACGACCGTGTCCAGGTCGCAGATATCGTGTCCCCAGGCGCGGTACGCCTTTTCCAAACGGAGCGACTCCATCGCATGGAACCCCGCGGGCAGCAGATCGTACTTTGAGGGCAAGCTCAAGAATGCGCTCCAACACGTGCATGGAGAACTCCGACGGGATGTAAAGCTCCCAGCCAAGCTCTCCGACATACGTGATCCTCGATGCGCGCACGGGAGCGTACCAATGTCAATCTCCGCCGAAGTCAAGAACGGGAACGCCTCGTTCGATACGTCCGCATCGGTAACTCTCCGAGAGTAGGAGCGGGAGTTCGGCCCCATCAGTCCCAGCACGGCGTACGACGAGGAAACGTCGGTCAGGAAGGCGTGGGCATCGTCGGGATGTGGTCCTTTATCCAGCGAAATCGCGCCTCGCGGTCGAGCCTGCCGTCACGATCATGTACTCCTCTTCACCGATGCGAGTGACCGTAAATCGGACTCGAAACCGCTCCTCTCGTTGAGCATTCCGGTGTATACGATCCTGCCCGGATCGACTGCCATCTGTCCCGCGAATATCCTCTGAGCGACCGCTCTGCATCCCTTCCTTGCAGGAGGAACTTCGCAAAGGAGGTCTGGTCGAACAGTCCCACCGTTTCACGGACGGCCCGATGCTCCTGTGCCGAGTACGGAACCAGTTCTGCCGTCCGAACGAGTATCCGTACACCGGCTCCACGCCGGGTGGCGCATACCAGTTGGGCCGTTCCCACCGCCGACCTCGCCGAAGCAGGCCCCCATGGATGCCAGCTTGTCGTGGAACGGCGACCGTCGTCGCGCCTCGCGCCGTCTCCATCTGCCGATGCGGGTAGTGCATGCCGTACAGTGTGCCGACCGTTCTCGACCGTCCGGTCGTGCATGATAGGTCTTGACGTTCTGGAAATGGTGGAAGCGGCGAATGTCCACCTCCCACAGGTCCATCGTCGGTTCACCCGCGACGATCCACTCCGCCACCGCCTTGCCCACGCCCGGCGCGGCGGCGATGCCGGTCGAGTTCAGCCCGTGCGAGATAGAAGTTCTTCAGGTCGGGCGACTCGCCCATCAGGTACCGGTTGTCGACGTGAAGCTCTCGGCGCTGACGCAGAACCGGTTGATGCCCGCCTCACCCATCGCCGGAACGCGATGCACGGCGTTGTCCCAGAAGACCTTGAAGTGCTCCCAGTCGGGTTCGAGCAGGTCGAAGTGGTAGTCTCGGGGTATGGCGTCGTCGCCCCACGGTTTGGGCGTGGTCTCGAACCCTCCCATGAGGATGGCCCCCTGTTCCTCGGCGTCACGTCGGAAGTATATCTGCTCGTCCGGGTCCGCAGGACGCGATGTCCTCCGGAATGCCCATCTTGTTGGTCACAACCACATGTGCTCCGCCGCGTGCAGGGGAATATCGACCCCCGCGTCAGCCCAAGCTGCCGTGACCACATCCCCGCCGCGCACACGACGACCTCGCACTCGATGTCCCCGCGGTCCGTCGATACGCCTGTCACAACGCCGTCCTTCCGGTTCACACCGGTAACTTGCACGTTCTCTACTATACGAGCCCCGCCCATCTCCGCTCCTCGCGCGACCGACAGCGCCGCGCTGGCCGGGATCGCGTGGCCGTCCTTCGGGATGTAAGTTCCTCCCTTGAGGTCGTCCGTCCGCATGAGCGGCCACATCGTGCCGGCGTCCTCCGCCGAGATCTCGTGAATCTCGATGCCGTAGCACCTGCCGAGCGACAGGATGCGCTTGAGCTCGTCCATGCGGTCGTTCGTCGTAGTGACCGTCAGACTTCCGGTGGCACGGAAACCGGTCGGGATTCCCGTCTCCTCGTGCAGCGTGGAATAGAGCTGCGCGCCCACGCGGTTGATGTCGATCATCGTCCGCGTGGCCCGGAGCTGCGTCACCAGCCCCGCCGCGTGCCACGTCGTGCCGCCCGCAACCGTCTTGCGTTCCAGCACCACCACGTCGGTCCACCCCAGCTTCGTCAGGTAGTAAGCGACGCTGCATCCCACGATGCCCCGGCCGATGATGACCACTCTCGCCCTGTCAGGAATGCTGTCCACAACTCACATCTCCATTTCTTCAAGTGCAAAAGTCCCGCGCCGAGATGTTCTCATTACGAGGCCGGCAATTCAATGCTTACCTACCATCTTCTGTCTATATCCTTGCCCTCCCTTAGACACCGTCCGCGCCGTTGAGACCCTTGTACAACCGTCATACCGGCGAAGAGGTTGCCCCGTACTCCGATACGGGACCGGTATCCAGAGGGGCTGGGCCTGGGGTTCAATGACGTTGTATCGAATCATCCATGTCGTCCCATCGGTTAGGTTATGCAACCGCATCCTGTGCGATAGACTCTTGGCACATACCTAATGGATCGGAGAAAGAGACATGGCTCATCAGCGTTTTCGAACAGGCAGCACGAGGGGAGGCCCCTATGCTTCCCGACCTAGACTTCCAAGCATGTCAGGCCGTCCGCGCCGGCAACCAAGTCTTCCTTGTTGGACTGACGGGTTTCGACCGTGACACGAAGGAGTTTATCGGGAGGGGAGACCCCGAAGCCCAGGCGGAGAAGGCGATGGAAAACGCCAAGGTCCTTCTCGAAGAGGCGGGCGCTCGCATGGAGGACATCTGCAAGATCACCACGTACGTCACCGAGCGTGAGTACCGGTATGACGTGTACCCGGTTATCGCCAAGCACCTCAAAGACGTGTGCCCGGTCTCGACCGGCCTCGTAGTAAAGGGTCTGGCGGAGACCTATATCGACTTCGAGATCGACATATTTGCCGTTATCCCGGAGGATCGGATGTCGGCTGCGTGAGTCTTTCGGCTCGTCACTTGCCCGGCGATAGGTTTGGCTTCGATTCACGACCGCCGAACGACTCCGATCTGTATCCAGCTATAGTCATACGGATGAAATCTACGTCCGCCCATATGGACCGACTGATCCGAGAAGTGGGCACTTGCCGGATGGCCCGACGCGCCAAATGGCACGATCCACCGCGAGTTGTCCCAGTCGCTGAGGTCGTAGATATACCGGGCGACTGAGGAGCCGGCGATCCCAAACGGGTCGGAGTGCGAGTAGCTGGCAGCCAGGGGAGTATCCCCGTCACCGCCGAGCGGCATCGCCGGGCCTTCTAGTTCCGCGGCCCAAGAGTAGGCGTTGGAAAGCCAGTGAGGCCGGTTCGTCTGGTGAATCTTCCCCCACGTCCATTCATTCATGTCGTTGCCGATCCGGTCCGTCAGGTACTCGACGGCGTTTCCGAGCGCCTCGGCATTAAGAGACTTCCACGTCGCGCCGCTCGGCAGCCAGGAAGCGTCGTCGGTCTCCGCCATACGGACGAGATGGGCCTTGAGAAGCGACACATGATGAGGCGCGCCGCGACCGCCCGCGCTGAGGGCATAGTCGGCCAGAGGTCCAAGGAGGTGTCGCAATATGGTGTCGTCGAGGTGGTATCGGAAGGCGCTGAAAATGGCCGGGGCCGCGGCGTCGACGTCCATCTTCCCGTCCCACCTCAGGAGGACCCGCTGCGCCTCAGCCGATCGCTCGTCCGCAGGCTCGACTCCTGGTAGAAGCTTCAGGTACGCCAGTGCGGGAATCGACACCCGTTCAGCGTGGACGTCGCCCATGTCCTCTACCGTGGCGTTCGGCATCTCCGCAAGCCGGTCATAGATCCGCCGTGCGCGGTGCTCAGTCGCGTACTGCACGCTGATGTAGTAGGGATAGTCGTCGTCTACCTGCTTGTTATTGGCCGTGACGATAAACCCGTTTTCCGGGTTTCGAATGCGCGGCATCTCCTCGAACGGGATGAATCCCTCCCACTCGTGCTCTCCCGTCCACCCCGGTACCGGGAGCCACGCGTTGGCCATGCTCCTTATCGGTACCTTGCCGCGCGTAAGATAGGCGATGTCACCTTCAACGTCTCCGAAGACGTAGTTGTTGCACGGGTCGACCCAGCCCCGCATAGCGGCGTCCATCTCGTCGACGGAACTAGAACAAAGCTGCATCAAGAGCGCTTCGAGGCCCATGTTCGGTCCGTCCGTGGCAGTGTACTTGAAAGCTATCGCCCGCCCGCTGCTCGGCTCTCCCACGACGATTGGACCGTGGTGAGTGGTCGTGACCTCGACCTCTACCGCCTCGGCACCCCTGACCTGAATCACCTCCGCATGAGTCTCTGCGTGCTTCCAGCTGCCCTTGTGCTCATAATGAAGGGATGACCCGCCCCGGAACGACTCGATGTACAGGTCTTGATAGTCCGCCGCGGCGTGCGTCACACACCACGCCACCCTGGCGTTGTGCCCGAAGTGCGGAAACCCGGGACACCCCGGAAACGACAGCCCCATCCCGTCGAACTCGTCGCACGAGATATGGTTCTGGTAATAGACGCTCGGCGTTTCGATGGGGCGGTGCGGGTCGCCTGCCAGGAGGGGTTTGCCCGATGTCGTCCTGCTCCCGTGAACGGCCCAGTTGTTGCTGCCGGAGTCGGCATCCGCCATCCCGTCCACGTGCTCGGCTCCCGACACGTACCCGCCAAGCACGTCGTAGTTGTCGCCGAGGTATTCCGCCCCCGGCGGAACGATCAGCAGTCCCCCCTTTTCGTACTGGGGCATGAGCTCCGCCGCCCGCTCTGCGCCGAGCGCCGCCACCGTCTTCGCCCTCCACAGCTTGGCCTCCATGTGGCCCATCAGTACGTGCCGCGCCTTGAATACTGCCAGGCAGTCCTTCGCCGTCCACGCCTCCGGCGACTCTCCAAGTATCGCGTATTCGACAGGCAGCGCTTCGGTCGTCTCGATGAATCCGTTGACCCCCTCCGCATACGCCTCGAACATCGCCCTCGTCTCGGCGTTGATGGCCCCATAGTCCCGTTCGACCGAGCGGCGCAGCTGGAACTTTCGCATGAGCACGTCCTGCTCGACGGCGCTCTCCCCCGCGAGCTCGGCCCACCGCCCGTACGCCCAACGGCGGTCATGGTCCATCTGGAAGAGGCGGTCCTGTGCCGTCGCAAACCCCTGACCGAAGAAGGCGTCATGCACGGTCGTGGCCTTTACGTGCGGAATGCCGTACTCGTCTCGGTAGATGGTCACCGGCCCGTCCAGCGTGTCGAACGAGAGACTGACTGTGACGTTCGGAAGGGCGTCGTCGAGGGCGTTTTGCGAGACGGTTCGGGTATCGGACAAGAGAGGACTCCTGGCGCAGGACTGCTGTGAACGTGCAGTGTAGGAGTATAGCATCCCCCGTCAACGCGAGTCACGACGTTTCCGTCAAGCAAAAGAGGTGGGTACTCAGTGCCCACCTCTTGTTGTTATCGTAAGTCCAATACCGCTACTAAGACGACTCTTTCACCGGCACCGCCAGCATCCTGCAGTCGCTGGTTGCGGCTCTGGCATCCAACTCCCTCCTGGCGCAGACATTGACGTTGATGGTTGAACCGCTCACAACATTCGCGACGTCGGCTTGAATTTCGATCTCCGCCTGGGCCCCGATCGTGCGCGATCCTACGATGCAGGTCAAGGCGCCACCCGGCGTGTCGGTTATCCTGCCCTTCCCTTCGCTCGCAAACTCTTCAAGCTGATTTGGGTGACTGCACGTTGGATCCCCGGTAAGGGCCCTCTCGTCAACAAACTGCAGGAGTTTTCCTGCGGTAAGCTCGTTCGGCAGCCAAATGTCTATTGCCACCTCCTCAGCATCAAGACCTCCGACGTTCTCGTGAGTAACGACAAGAGTGAGTGGCTCACCGGGGGTGAATGCCTCCTCTATTGTCTCTACTTCAATGCTGCGAGAAATGAATGCCAATGAATTGCATTCTAGCGTCCTGCCTGTCGAAGATCCTGCACTCGATCCTGCGACCAACTGCAGCGACATGCAGTTGTTGGCCCAGACGTCTTCGTCTTTCGCGACGTTGTCCGTCTGATACGTCGAGAGCCAAACGTCGATGTCGAGACTGGCGCCGTCGGTCACCTCGCCGACTTCAACCTCGATGATGACCGATCCCTGAGCTCCCATCTTCCGCGTACCAAGGAGGCACTTCATTATGCCGCCCCATTCGCCGGTTATCTCTCCCACCTCCTGACTCGCGAACCGTTCAAGCTTGCCCGCCTGGCTGCATGCGGGAGTCCCCGGCACTACGCTCGTGACTTTAAGCTCGTTCGGCAGTTCGATGTCGACCACCACGGCCCCCGCTTCCGATCCCCCTCCGTTCAGATGAGTCACGGTGAGCGTGACGGTATCTCCCTTCGAGACCGCTGTATTGTCTGCTGAGATGGTTGCGGTCATGTCGGGCGCGGGTCGAAAGTCTAGGTGTCCCATGCCGCGCGCGACCGGAACAAGCACGCCAACCAAGGTGCCCATCGAGAGGACGACAAGGATCGTCGTCCACCAGAACACCCCACCCCGCTTTCTCCACCAGACGAGAATGCCGAGGAGTCCACCCGGTTCCTCGTCTCTGATCCGCAGCGGCTTAATTGGTTCTCTCGGTTCTGCTTCCGGTGAATAACGCTGCGCCAACGATCTCCTCCTCTTCCGCTAATGTGAAGATGACATAGATATAATGTAGTATCGGCCGGGACGGCGATGCAAGCTTTACTGTACCGTGACGGTTGCTGAGGCGTTGTTGTTGTCGGTGACGGACTCAGCCTTCTTAATATCCCGGGTAGTGGCGGTCTCGATCTCTGCGCCCGCCTCCAACTGGGTACCCTTCGTCGCCGTTGAAGCTACTGTCGCGGTGACCGTAACGCTGCCCTGCCTCCCCGGATTCTGCGTCCCCCAGCCTACAGACCACCGTTGACTCGGAAGGGGTGCATGCGGCGGCGGGGACGATTTCCCCTATCGTAGTCCCCTGAGGCAAAGTGACCGTCAGCGACACCGACCCTGCCGGATTTTCGCCCTTGTTGGTGTAGTTTGTGGTGTATGTCACACTCTCGCCCGCGGCAACAGTCGAAGGCGCCGCGCTCATCGTGACCTCCATGTCCGGCGCCGAGCCCAGTTCGACAGCCCCTTGTTGGACGGCGAGATAGAAGCCGCCTCCGATGATCAGTGCGGCCATGAGGAGGCCAAGCACAAGTACAAACCAGAACGCGGCGCCTTGGCGGAACATGAAACACCTTCTCCCTCGACGCCGGTTGTCTCCGGTCGTAACGGCGACTGGCGTCAGCTCAAATTACGGTGTGCCGACCGAACGGAGTATATGGGCAGCGCATACTACAGTCAAGCTCGCGAAGAACCACGACGCGGCAGCCGCCCAGGGGCGTCACGCGGCAAACGACTCGCGGATATTCATCAGGTCGCGGCGAAGCCGGGTGTCGGCTTCGAGTTGTCGCTCTATCCGCCGACAGGCGTGGATGACCGTCGTATGGTCTCTCCCGCCCATGACCCGCCCGATCGTCGCGAGGGGAAGCTGTACTTCTTCACGCAGAAGGTACATGGAGACATGTCGCGCCTGGGCCGTGGGTTCTGTCTCGCTTCTTTCCCTTGAGGGTCGATTTGTCGATGGAGAAATACCGCGCTACGGCGCTCAGCACATCCTCCTCCGATACTCTCCTGTTGCTCTCCTTAAGAGAGTCCTCAAGCGCCTGTTCAACCAGACCGAGGTCAACGTCCGCCTTCGGATCGCCGTTTAGCGACTGATGGCCCAACCCCGCATATGCGGCGACGATGTTGAGGCAGCCTTCCAGTTCGCGCACGTTCCTTTGAACGCGGCCCGCGATGAACTCCAAGACCTTATCGGGAAACCTTCGGTCGATCTGCTCAGCCTTTGAGCGCAAGATCGCCATCCGAGTTTCAAAATCGGGGATCTGAATGTCCACTACCAGGCCACCGGCAAGCCTTGACGAAATACGGTCCTGAAGAAGCGAAAGCTCGCTCACCGGTCTGTCGCACGTTATGACGATCTGCTTCCCCGCCATGTGAAGCGCATTGAATGTATGGAAGAACCCCTCCTGAGTCTGCTCCTTGCCGATAATGAACTGGATGTCGTCCAGTAGCAAAACGTCGGTGCTTCGGTATCGGTCTCGAAACTCCTCCGTCGTACCCTCGCGGATCCCCCTGATGTACTCGTTCGTGAACTCCTCGGTCGTCGTGTACAACACGTCGTGCCCCGCCTCCCGGACCTGATGTCCGATGGCATGCATCAAATGCGTCTTGCCAAGCCCAACGCCCGAGTAGAGCACCAGCGGGTTATAGACGAAGCCCGGATTCTCTGAGACGGCCACCGCAGCCGCGTGCGCCAGGTTGTTGGAACTGCCGACGATGAAATTCTCGAACCGGTAGCGCCCGTTCAGGTCCACGCGGCGGTACGAGGGCCGCGACCGGGCTTGAGATGTGGCGGCGCGGTCCTGGTCGAGCGGCAACTGGGCGGTTCCGGCGTCGTCGGTTCTTGGAACTTGAGGCGAGGTCCGTGCGGGTTTTCGGGCTTCTCCGCCGACCTCGAACCGAATCTCCATGGGGTCTCCGGTGATACCTTCGAGGCACCTGGATATCAGCGAATACATCCGAGTATCGAGCATCTCGGATACGAAGGCGTTGGGGGTCCGTACGACGAGCGCCCCGTCCGACATGGAGACTCCAGTGGTGCCCCTGAGCCACGTCTCATAGCTCGGTTTCGGCACTTGAAGTTGAAGCTCGCCGAGAACGGCGTCCCACATCTCTCGTGGGGTGCTCTTGCTTGGCTGATCGGTCACGTGCAGGGGTTCCGGTATAAGGGTTTGGGAATGCGGATTCTACCACGTCATTTTCCCGCTGTGGCGGAAGTGGGCACGAGTTTCCTCACACTTTATCCACACCCCTTCGTCCATCTTGCTCCTTCCAAGGTGAGCAGGCCCTGCGCCGCGAGTTATAGGCGCTGACCGTCTAACGCATATTTGTTCTGTCCGTCGAAGTCTTGTATTTTTCTGAAATCTGTGTGGAGAATTCTGATGTGCAGTCTTCGAACGCCCACAGAGCTTCGGACGGGTGGTTGACAGTGCTTACAAATCTGCATCAATAGAGTCGATCCGAGAATTGTTCAAGTATATTGGACAAATCCCAAACATTCACCAAAAAAGGGATATGTGGAATCCATGTTTTTCAGTCGACGGTCGGCGTCGGAAGTGGTCTTGCACGAATGTTCCATGGCCCTCGCTTTGCCACAATACTACGTCTATATCGAACCATAGTGGAAAACCTAGCGGCGGTGCAGAAAGCATGTCCCGACAATTCCTCAAATGAATCATTGGGAATTGAAGGGAGATGAAGGCGGCCGAAAACGGCGTCGTACTTGACTTGAGTTGCTAACCCCTCGTACTCGGGCAAACAGCGGACTCAGCATCTAAATCGGTCTGCGAGAAGGCGGGCTCAGTAGGCGGTCCCGCGGTCCCGCCACTGGAGATAACCCATCCACATCAGCGCGGGTCCGAGTGTGAGCACCGCGAGGAATCGCAGTCCCAGCACGATTCCACTGATCCCGAACATCAGGCCTCCGAACCACAGTAGGTGGCCTGCCCACCGGGGAAATACTCCGGCTTTTACAGTCGCTCTTCCGAACAAAAGCAGGCCTATCCCCAAGAGTAAATGAGCGGGCCAGTAGATGAATTCGAACTGGACATCGCCAAATAGCGGTAGGCTGTAGTCCACGAGGTGTGGCGCTTCTTCCACCAGTCTGGGCCAAACGAGGGTCTGCTCGATCTGCACCCACGCGAACATCACGGCCCCGAGAAGCGAGAGATAGAAGCCCGCTTGCCCGACTTTGGAGACCATGCCCTTCTGGGCGAAGTAGAGGCTCACTATGACACCGGGGAGCAGAATGGACGCTACCATGCCTGGCAAGCTGAACGGTAACCACGCCGATTTGCTCACCACATCCAGCAGTTCTACGGTGGGATCGATAGAGGGCACCAGTGACGCGACTAGGATCCACCAGACCAACAGCAACCCACCGGTGACCATGCTGATCATACCGTCCCATCGGATCAACTGTGTTCCCATGCCGTCCTCCGAAGTCTGCCTGGCTTAGTTGAGTCTAGCCGGACTGAGTAATCGCTCGGTACCGTCGACTATCGCCTTCGCGCCTCTCGATATCAAGTCCAGTTCACTGGCTTCCTCGAAGAAGAGCGCGCCCTTGCCGATCCAGCGCGCGGCCGCCTCATGCCCCTTGACGCTCGTGCCGAATGGGACGCCGTGCCGTAGGCAGAGATCGAGCACGTGTTCCATCGGGCCCCTAACGTCGGGATGGTCCCAATCGCCGGGGTGATCGAACTCCAGTGAAGTGTCTCCAGGGCCGCAATAGACCATGTCCACGCCCGGCGTGCTGACGATCTCCTCGGCGTTGGCATACCCTGTTCTGGTCTCGATGTGGACAACGAGCGTGGTCTCGGCGTCCTGTCCGGCAATCCAGCCTTGCCGGTCGGTCGGCTTGATGTAATCGCTGCTGCCGTATCCGGTCGCGCTGGCGCGGCTGCCATTCGGGTAGAGTTTGATGTAGTCAATGAGCGTCTCGATCTCCTCCCGCGTCTCCGTGCGGGGAAGTTGTATACCCACGACTCCGCACTCCAGGAGCTTCGCCACCTCTTGGCGCTCCAGTTGCGGTGTTTTTGCGACGACCGGCAGCCCGTTGTCTCGAGCTGCCACAACGGAGTCTGCCAGCTCGGCCATGCCGAAGTAGGCGTGCTCGTATTCTATGTAGACGAAGTCGTAGCCCGCCTGCTGGTACAGCTTCATCAAGGACGGTCGGGTGTACTCGCACACCATCCCACCGACGAGCACCTCGCGAGCCGCGAGTCGGGCCTTCAACTGACGGCCAGGTCCCCCTTCCGGGTAGAGGGCCTTCAAGCGGGCCTCGGCCGAAGCCGCTATTTCGGACTTGGGCATCTAGTAGCCTCCAATCGGACGTCATCGTGGAGAGCCGCGCTGCCCTCCGGCGGGAAAGTGTATCCGATTGGGAGGATGAGCGCTACGGCAAGTCTTACATCCCAACCGCCAGCCTCAGACCCTTGTGTACCTCTACTACTCGGTTCACGGCTTCTTCCAAGCTCTCGCCGAAGACTACCGTTCCCGTGTGAGCCTTGTCCCACTCCGGCCAATGGTCCTTGAGGATGACATATTGCCCCAGGTCCTCGATAACCTCCTCGACCGAGTGCGGCAAATCGACGGTGCCCGCGTCGCCGTACCCGGGCCGTCTCGATGACTCCCAGTCGCTCCCATGCCTCCCGTGACGCGGACGAGTAGAGCAGCTCAGTGTTCTCATGCACGTGAACGATGGCGTTGATGTGAGCGTGCTTGCGGTAGAAGTGCCAGTGCAGAATGCTCTCGGAAGACGGCAGCTTGCTTCCTAAATAGTACGCCCTCGATACGTTCTCATCCTTGGAGTCGAACGTGTATCGGTCCAGAAGGACGAAGTCCTCCGCCTGCAGGCCGCGCTTCGTCGGAAGCTGCGTCGCTGTGACGATCATCGCGCCCCCGGCGTTCGCCCGTAAGCTCACGTTTCCATTGCTCCCGACCGGATTGCCAGGCGCGTACGATGCCAAGAGATCAAGTGCATCCAACTCGTCGCACGCGGCGCTTAACCGCCCTGTCTCAGAGTCCGAAGGCGGGGTAGGAGATATTCGCTCCCAACTGAATTTCACCAGTTCGGAGCTGAGACCGGGAGTGTAGGGCATCGTGTGCGACAGTTGCTTTCGTTGAGTTGTTGAGGCGATGAGAAAGGATATCCGTTCACCCTGGGCCTGTCGAAGGGTCATAAGGCAATCTATAGTTCGGCCTTGGAAGGGCGGCCGCTACACCCTCACGAGATCGTCCTGCACCTGATTGGCCATCTGTCGCATGTACGCCTCTCGGCCTACCTGCAGCTTCTTGTAGTTCATGCGTGAGGCGTGAGGGATCATGCGAAGGTTCCTGTCTTCGAGGGGGAACCGGACTGGCGCGTGCCCTCTCCGGTGCGACTCCCGCAGGCCGATTGCTATTTCAAGCACCTTCCTGCCGTTGTCCCCGCTGCCGGGAGGGTCGAGGTCCTGCTCCAGGTAATCGACGAATACCGAAACGCTCGCCAAATTCCGGTCGCCCGGCCACAGCCACCCGTCCGGCTCTCGGTGGCCGCTCGTCTTCCCTATGACGTTCGTCTCCGGGAACAGCCCGTCGATCTCTTCCATCGTCTCCCATGAGGAACTGCCGTCCGGCGACCTGTACATGTGCAGAACATCCGCGTTGCTGACGAATACCCCGTTGGTGCAGTTGACCTGGAAGCCGGATCCCCTTGCGTCCCGTTCACGGCTGATGAATGCCTCGACCCCGTTCACGAACCGCACGTAGCCGGAGCCTCCCTGGTCGTAGTCCTTCCAAGGGTCGTCGTCGACCCAACCGATGCACCACGCCACCTCGGCGAACCCGGCGAACATCCGCATGAGGCTGAACTGCTGGATGCCGCCCCCTGGAAAGCTCCGTGCCGCCGCCTCCGAAGAAGTGGATGCTCTTGACCTCACCGATCTTCCCCTCCGCGATCATCTTGGCCGCCTCTTGGTAGGCCGGAAGGTTGATGTTGAGGTCGCCGGCGCCAATCTTCACCCCGTTGGCGCGGCAGGCCGCGACCATGGCGTCGGCCTCCTTGAGCGACGGCGCGAACGGCTTCTCGCACAGGATTCCCTTCACGCCGGCCTCGGCACAGCCGATCACGACTGAGGGGTTCGGGCCGACCGGCAGGATCGGCGCGGCGATGTCGATGCTCTCTTTCTTCAGCATCTCCCGGTAGTCGGTATAGCCGGGCACCCCGAACCGCTTGCAGAACACTTCGAGGTTCTCCTCGTCGGTATCGGCGGCGGCCACGATCTGCGTGCGTGGATCGATCCGGTACGCCCTTCGCGTGTTGAGCGCCCTTCCGCCCTATGCCGATCATCCCGACTCGGTACTTTGCCTCGGTCATGTGGTCCTCCTCGCGGACATCGTGGGTTCTTCCGCCAATTCTATACGTCGTTCCGTCAAGGGCGAAAGGCCCCCTGAGCTCTGAATCCATGGTGGCTTTCCATCTCTCTCTCTCCCATAGTATTCTTTGGCCATTCGCCCGACTTGATCTCAAGGAGCACCCCGGATGACCGTTACTTCGCAGACTTCTAGTCCCGGTGGCGCATTCCGCCCCCGCCTGATCTACTACAACGACGGACACCACTTCCATGGGAAGCGCGTCGAGCCGCCGGTGAGCATCCAAAAGCTCCGCCAGCCGGTCGACGAGGTGCTCGGAACCGGAGTCGACCTGCTCGTGCTCGGCCTCGGATATGGCGACGTGTATTTCCACAACAGCAAGGTCGGGCGAGTCGTCGGAGAGGCCAAGGAAGTCTGGGAGAGTTACATTGACTGGCGGATCATGCGGATGGTGCAGGTCGCCCGCGAGAAGGGCACCGACCAGGTACGTGAGGTCATCCAGCACGGACGCCGGAATGGAGTGACCGTCTTCCCCAGTCTCCGCCTGCAGGACGCCCAAGCCCCCGGGACCGATAGGTGCGGCTGGCTCCGCTGGCGGCACGAGGCCGCGGTCTGCCACGGCGTGAACGACCCCCGCTGGCCCAAGCATCAGACCCAATGGGCTTACGACTTTACGAATCACCTGGTCTGGGACGACAAGAAGGCCATGATTCGCGAACTGCTCGTCGATTACGAGGCCGACGGTATCGAGCTCGACTTCATGTTCTTCCCGCTCTACTTCCGCATGGAGGAGACCGAGGCGGGCATCACGTCCATGAACCGCTTCGTCGAGGAGATCCGCGACTTAGTGGACTCCATCGGTGCGCAGCAGGGCCGCAAGATTCCGATCATGGCCCGCGTCCACGCCGACGAGCAGGCAAACCTCGACATCGGACTCGACGTTGCCACGTGGATAAGCGAGGGGGATGTGGACATGGTGGTCGGCAGCGAGCGAGCGAACCTCATCGACACGGGGATGTCGGACCGATGGCTGCCCGACGTGGCGAACCGCGTCGGCGTCCTCGCATATTACCGGCCGCCGCGCCGCATCTATGACCACCGCGTCGGCAAGCCGGACGCTGAGATGTTCCGCGCGCTCAGCCAAACCCTGCGCTACCACGGGTGGGCGGGTATCTTCGACGGCTACTATCCATGGCCCTTCGGCGAGCGTGAGTACCAGGTCCTGCGCGAGATCGGCCACCCTGAGGTCTACGAACGACGCAACAAGCGCTACATGCTGGCACCGTGCGAGGGCAAGTGCAGGCGAGGAGACGACCACCCCTGACCGCCAGCTCCCCGCCGACTTGGTTGATGGGGAAACCGTCACGCTCAACATACTGGTTGCCGACGAATTAGAGAGCGCCAAGGTCGAAGGCGAGCTGCGCAAGCCCGTATTGAATATCCGCTTCTCCTACTTCTGCGTCGAGGACGACATCGAGATACGTTTAAACGAGCGTGTCCTGCCATTGGAAAAGGCCGAAGTCACCGACGAGCGGGCCCTCCGCATGGCGACCGTCATGGCCGGAGGCATGGACGTTCAGGCCCCGTTTGCCATGTCTGCCCACTTCTTCGCCTTCGTCCTCGAACTTGATGACATCAAGCAGGGTTACAACGTCTTGGAGATCGAGACCAAGAGTCAGGAGAAGACGGCGGGTTTCACACGCAGCGTGAACGGCGTCGAAGTCCGGTCCGCTACAAGGAGTTCGAGCGCCCCATCGGCCTCACCGTGGAGCGCGTCTCGCCGGTGTAAGGGCTGGTTCCGCTCAGCGGCCTAGCTCCTCCAGCACGACGTGCGCGGCGTTGTGTCCCGGCGCGCCCGTCACTTCGCCTCCTGGGTGCGTACCCGCACCGCAAAGGTACAGTCCCTCGATGGGAGTCCGGTAGTCCGACCACCCCGGCAGCGGCCGGCGTGACAAAATCTGCTGCGGAATGATGTCCAGATGCCTTATGTTGCCGTCCGTCAGACCGATGCGGTCCTCGATGTCCTCCGGGGTCAGCAGCGTCCAGTC